ATTATGACTGAGTTTTCTTTTTTTATTTGATATTTTAGTCATTAGTTCTCTGAATATTTTTTTTAGAATTATTTCCTTATATTAATCCAGAATCTCGTGTTAAATATGGCATGCCCTAGTTAGCCACTCCAATGGTTGCTTTGAACTGATCTCACGTTTGAAGTTCGTTAAAAAACTGACGCAGTATATATGAATGTCACTATAATGATTCATGAGTGAAAATCGGCGAAATGAATACGACTTTACCTATTTGAAGCTAGGTTATCTAGTATTAAACAAAAGGGACAGCTCAACGGTGTACGAGTTAAGGCAGGGAAGGGTGAGAAGTGCTAAATGTTAATGAACTCAACGGAACATGTTTATGATTATATACTTCTAACGATGGCTATTGTGTTCGGTACGTTAATTGTGTTAATTTTGGATGATATTTCAAGGCGTTCTGAAGAAGAATGCTCTTTTTATAGTCAGGTGAAAGCGACGACACGTTAAAGCTGAAATGAATTCTGCTGCAACCCATCAAAAACTGGCTAGGTTCTTTTAATAAATGGTTTTATTCTAGTTAGAAATATTACAAATGCCTCAGTCCTTGTGGACTCCGTAAGTAATTCCAAATTTGCTCCTTTTTCAGTTTTGATACCATTCCAGTTGATTGCCTGATGCAAGTTGTTGACTTCTCATTAAAAAGTGACCCGTCATTATTTTTGGGGAACGAGCACACAAGCAAGGTCGAGCGATTATGTTTCAATTAGTATTTTCTTTATTATTGAAAATTTTGACTCTTCGTCTAAGTCATGATTATATTCAACTATAAAGTCGAGTGTCGCTGGTTCAACTTGAAACATAAATTTTTCTCATATTGTATTACATTTACATGGAAATTTCTGACTTACAGGCAACATTAACAGCTCATACGGTGGACGATCCGCGTCCGCTTTTCCTTCCTTACAGGACTCTGCTCTGTGGAGGCACCATGGAAGTTGTGGCGACGTTTCTGGTGTCTCAAACATGGTTGAACTAGTAGTATAAGGCTGAACCACGAGAAGCTCATTTTTGGGGGTGTAGTTTGTTGTTCGCCTGTGACGTCACTGATCTCAGTAACATCACGGGCATTTACCAATCACCGGAATGTTATCCAACCAGTCGTCATGGGGATGACGGGATTGTTAACGTATCTCGATCTCAGTGACGTAACAAGAAAGTTGAACTGACAGACGGGAATCCTTGTGAGTCAGCCTTATTAAAGTTCAACCATGTGTACCTCCTGCCCTCAATTTTGGCCACTCCACCACGTACGTGTTCCACCAGAGGCACCTCTGGGAGTGCATGCGGGACCACTGCTGCCACAAGCAACACTAACAACATCTTCACGCCCATAGATAGACTGAGCTTTGGAAAACGTTTGAAAGTGTTGTGCAGAGATGTGGTGTTGTGAAACATAATTAAAGATTTAAATGGGACAAGTAGCAAACAACTTTGGTCGTTTCTCGTATGTCAAGAAAAGAAAAATTTCTCGCATGTCAAGAAGAGCTGTCTACATCAGTTTTCCCATTTGATGAATTTTGTGCCAAGGTAAAGTTATGGCTGCTGTTGTATTATTCATATTTGTACGTGTATATGAATTTGAGCATCAAGTTTTCGGAAATAGTTTGCCAATTTTCTTTCAAGTTCAACTCCTCAACTTATTTGCCTCGATTATTTCATGTTCTTAGCGATTGCTTTATTCCAATAAATTGTGAATGAGTATAGTGCCAAGTCATAATCGGTTAAAGCTTATTCTTATCTAGAATCTGAACTTAATCTGAAGCTAATTTACTCGTAACTACCGGAACAGGAAGGAAGTTATCGTAACGCTGAACTTCTGTCGACATGAGTAACTCGCAACTTTGGGGAGGTATAGCCTCATTTCTAACATCGAAATATAATAACTAATTTTGGCTACCTAAATTCGTCAAATTTAACAAATTTTGGGACTGAGAAAGGCGATTGCTCATCACTTGGGATAAAAGGTTTCTCCGTTATATATATTTCATTTTTATTCTATGTCATGTCTTCAGTAATATTTCTATAAATTCAGTTACTTGATGATGAATTCTTGTCAAAGATAGTAATATTGTACTAGTTAAAAATTTATCCTAAATGGGTTATTGCAATTTATTGAGAAAACCGTCTTCACACAGCAAGCTGTCACGCTGCGTTAACTTCCCTTATTATTTGTTATGATGTTGCATATATGTCGTGTTTTTTTTTCAATTAAACGTTTCTGTAACAGAATTTTTAAAGTTACCCCGAAACCAAAATTATGAAATAGAAGAATTTTCAGTACAGCGTTTGGGGCGTGTTGGTAGTGAGTGAGCCGCAGCTAGGCAGCTAATAGTCGGTAATGCCTGCTGCTTCCCTGCTCTCTTCCTACTTCTCGCTTGCTCTTGTTCGGTGCCGGCTCCTACACTGCTTCTGATTTACTGGAAATATTGGAAATGATTCTAGAACATTCCAGAAGTTTCTAGGACCGTTCAAAAGTTTTTAGGATAGTCCAAAAGTTTCTAGAACATTTCAGAAGTTTCTAGAACATATCAGAACTTTTCAGAACATTTTAGAAGTTTCCAGAACATTCCAGAAGTTTCTAGAAAATTCTAGAAAAGTTTATACATCTAGAAAAGCTTACAATTCTAGTATGTTCTAGAATTCTAGTATGTTCTGAAAGAAATTCTAAACAATTTCATTTTTAGAATGTTATAATTTCTACGTAAACCACACAAAAAGTGGTTCTAGAAATATCAATTTCTAGAATGTTCTAGAAGCAAAATTCTACCAAATTCAAAAACATTCTGAGGCTCAGCGAATATAGTCAACTATTGAATTTATGGGTGTGAAATATTTGGTATCCAAGAATTTTTTTCGAGAATGTTCAAATTCATCGAAAGCCATAAGGTGTGCATTTTATACGAGAATAGATCAAGAGAACAGCTCAATTTAGCTAAAGTTTAAAAATAAATGAAATTTTCCAATGTTTCATGCGGTATAAAATGTCTCAATTTTATAACATCGGCTATGCTTCGAATAAGTAACGAAACTGAAGGATATAAAAACAAGCGCTATAAGATGCTCATTATTTCATTACAAATAATCCTGTAGTGCCTCATGGCACGCTGTAGCCGACCGAATGCTTTCCCGGACCAAGAAATTAGCGACAAACATCGATTCCGCACCCACATTCGCGTCCGGACGCACGATATTCAGTCGTATATTACCACGGAACAAATTCGGAAACTCGAGTTATCCCTCAACGAAAATTTGTGCACTCAACATTTGATCCATGAAGACGGTTCAGAGGTTTATTTAGCTGTGAATAAGCAGATTTTACTGAGAACAATTTACTTTTCATAAATTTTAACCACTTGAAATATTTTAATAATCCAATCCTCGCATTAATTTAAACTCCATGTACCAAGTTCCCGTTCTAGACCGCTGGATCATCCATATCCACCTTTAAATGCAATCCTTACAGATTACTTATGGCAAAAATTAGATACAAATTATGCTGCTAGCTAATTCGAAAAAAGACCGCTCTTTCTACATTACATGCTAGTTAATATATTATTAATATAAAGTTTTTGGAAGGAAAAAGATCGTTCAGCTATCAAATAGCTAGTTTTTTTTTGAGGACGAGGGTAGACTACAGACAGGCCGAGGTGACTACTTAGCAACACATTGTATGAAACGGAACACGAGTTTTAACGTGGGAGTTATTCAAGGTTTTATTGTAGGAGCAACGAATGGAAATCAGCACAGAAAAGTTGACGTGCAACGTAGTATGACATTTTCAGTTCAGCAAAAATCCGCGGTTACTGATTCCTGGAACGTGAAAATTGGCGAAACCACACAACTTAATTAAGTGACTTTATTAGGCAGTCGCATAATCAGAAATTTCATCATATTACTATGAAAAGAAGGTCCTTGTTTGAACTGTAGTACATGTTTTACCATAATTGCAATGCAAGTTTTGGTTTACTATTGGCTGTACAGTTTACAATGGTGACTACAGTTCACAGTTACTTGTGTAGAGATGTGTGTAGTTCCGATTTGGTGGTGAAACTGTGTATGTAATTCAGAGTTGTTCATGCAATAGTTTGTGCAGGTCATAGTTGGTTATGTAGGAGTATTTTCACTTCAGAGTCGTCTGTGCCATTACGTGAGCAGTTCAGAGACGAGACGGCTATTCAATGATGCGTGTAGTTCAGAGTCGCCTATACAATGATATGTGCAGTTCAGAGTCGGGAGTGCAATGATGTGTATTGATCAGAGTCGGCTATGAAATTATATGTGCAGTTCAGAGTCGGCAGTGCAGTGTGTACAGTTCAGAGTTGGCAGTGCAATGATGTGTGTAGTTCAGAGTAGGTAGTGCAATGATGTGTGTAGTTCAGAGTAGGTAGTGCAATGAGGTGTGCAGTTCAGAGTCGGCAGTGCAATGACGTGCACAGTTCAGAGTCAGCTATGCAGTTATGTGCGTAGATCTCAACATGTTGTTCAATTCATTGATATCATCAAATAAACCACGGAATAAATAAGGGAAGTTGCACGCCATCACAGTAGATACCCTCCCGATCTCTCCCAACTTTACGAACAATTCTTGTCAGTTGAGATGAGACTTCATCTCCCACGGTGAATAGAGAACTATATTAATGAAATTATTATTAGTTAAACATATTTAATGTCTTTAAGACAGCGGTATGACTAGGAACCCCTATAAATGATCTGATAAAATTTCAACTAACAAGGATTCAAAGGGAAAAGTTTGATTAGAAATCTCTATATGAAACTCTATACTTAGCGCCGATCATTGCAAAGAATTAAGAAGTAAGATGTACATGAAACCTCTCCCTTATAGTTGTATAACAAAGGAGGAGAAATACGTATATGAAACCTCTTCATTATAGTTGCATAACAAAGGAGGAGAAATACGTATATGAAACCTCACCATTATAGTTGTCATTATAGTTGTATAACAAAGGAGGAGAAATACGTATATGAAACCTCTTCATTATAGTTGTATAACAAAGGAGGAGGAACGGTACAGCAAGAGGAGGTCAGTGATGAGACATATAATTATCGCTATCACCGAACCAACAACAACGAGCCCCAGGATCAAAAGACAAAGACCTCCTTCAAAAAGAAATACTAAATATGGCTTATGATATTTTCATAAGTTATATAGCAAAACAGAGATTATGAGAAATAACTTTAGAACTTACTAAATACTTTCATTTAAAGTAGGGATGGGGAGGTAGTGCTGATTCGTATCAATAAAGTATACGTTTTAAGAGAAATGTTATTAGTAGTTTTAGGAAATAAAAACATCGAGATACTATTGAAAAAACAGGTATTCATGATAACAAGGATCGTACGAATTAGTCCTTAGACCCATAAAGGACTGTTGAGTAACATGATATGATGAGGGTCTTTGAAGGACTACATTATTTATACTACTATATTGTTATAATTCATTAAATGGTTACAGAGCTATACACTAATTGGAGTTCTGCTAATTATTACGGTAGATTTATTAATTAACTGTGAGGAGTGAACTGGACTCACACTCCCATGAGTCCAAGGGAAGGGCGGATTGAATATCTAGCTACACCCATCAACTAAAAAAATAAATAATAACGAAAATCAACCTTTCAGCGCCATTAAATTTCACGGGAATTATGTTTGGTTTTGCAATAAGGATCCAAACCTCGACTCAGTTCGAAGATGGTACAAAAAAATTTATTAAATGCAAATTAAAACAGGAGATACTAGAGGCAAGGGTGTTGAAAATCTGATTAAACTATCATCCTGTTAAATTAGTTGCAGGAATAGTGATTATTTACCTAATGAACAAGAGGTTAAAATTCTTATTATTGGTCAAGAACTTACTTGCGAAAGATTTCACATGCAAGTTGCACTACGTTAGAACAAATTTTGAAGGCAATTTGAAAATTATTATGGTTCAGGAATGGTAGAAAAATACCAGGCAAAAACTCATCATAAAATTCAGACAAAATCTTCCTATTGGCTGTGAACTTCTTCAATGCAAAAAAAAATCACAATTTCAGGAAGAAAGTAGCTGGATGAAGATTTTATGAAATTATTTTGATTTCGTGGAACTGAATCGAAACTTCAAAGTGAAACTCAAAGCCCAAAAATATCAAAGGGCAGTGCAATTTTAAACATTTCGTGAAATTACTATGGCTGATGAGTTAAAAGAATAATCAGTATCAAAAGACATTGACAATTTTGGCACACATTAGATATGCACCCTATCGTTCATAAAATTCCTAGCCGAATATGTACCCATATTGATGAAAAGAGTTTCCGGCGTAAAGTCAAAATTTCAGAAATCCCAGTCAGAAGTTGACCCAAACAGCGGTCAAACTTCAACCATAACTCGAGTTAATCCGAAGACGCGCGACTTGAAACATTGGCTGGCGTAGAAGGGGGCCAATAACAGTACCTACAAACTTTACAATGTGACGCGTATTGGACGACGATGATCAATTTAAATGAGATAATAACAGTGATCATGAACCACAGTTATACTGATCAATTAAAGAGCAGTTGGTCATTCTCCATACAGGGAGAGCAAATATGCACGTAAATATAATGAAAAATCATTGCACCACCCCTCCCTCCAGTTGGCATCAGTCAAAGAATGCACTCTGAGGATATAACTAGCAAACCCTTTACAATGTTCCTGGAGCTTCTTAACGTTTACTCTTAGGTATGTATCAGAGCTACCGTATAATATTACCATAATATTTATTGCGGGAAATTCCAAATGGGAGAGAGTTGGATATGAGGAGAAATGTTCAGACCAACTTAACGTTCAATGCCGGAGCGCTCATTTGAGGTTAATAGAAGTAAAAAATTGGTTAAAGAACAAGTGGCATTTATTTCAAATGTCACGTAGGAGTTGAATACTGAAGGGTTCTATTTGCTCACAAAAGGCTCATTTACCAGAACCTCTCCCCCATTTTCCGCAAGGTAGCATTAAAAATATATATATATATGTATATCATAAAGCAGTTTAGGCTTACTATCAATAAACTGGATGTAGGATATTCTAGAATTGTCACTAAAATGTTGTGGTTTACGTATCTAATTCTAGTCTTAGCTAAATAGGGCAACTACGTCCTCGTGAGGATAGGATGTATGTAATAAGATCCTGTGGCGATCCTGCGACTTCTACCGAGTAATTTTACACAGGTTTGGCGCCGACTCCTACTGAGTAATTTTACACAGGTTTGGTGCCGACTCCTACCTATATAATTTTACACAGGTTTGGCGCAGGCCGCTACCTAGTAATTTTACACAGTTGTACAAGCATACTCGACGTTTCCGTCATTTAACAAGCTCAACTTGACGTCATATACTCTTTGATACAGCAAAGACCGGCAGGATAACCTGCCCTACAGCAAAGACGGGCAAAAAGTTCACTTTTTCGACGTCCAAGCGCCTCGATCACTGCATTTTTGGGAGAGTCTCTTCGCACCACTCATGGCGGTACTCAGGCTCAAGTTCTCACGCAGTTATCACTGTTTTAATAACGATAGCACTTTTCTTCTAACACGGCGCTGATGTATGTCTATGTTCACTTCTTCTTTGACATCATATGTTCTTTCACTTTCAATAAACTCTTCACCAACAATCAACGAACATCAAAAATGAACGAAAAACACTTGAATGACGACAATAAAATATTCACTCTATTATTGTCATATCCAATTAAATGAACTAAAGTTTCACTATCTCTCAACTGGGACAAAAACTTCATCAAAAGTGACTTGAGTAGGCAACACTAGACATTTTTCCCACACAAAGTAGTAGATCTATCAAAATAAACACTCCACAACTCCGCAATAATGTTTGCAATATTTGTAGTACGTAGAAGACTCGCTCACTAAATGTAAATACAAGAACATCAATATCACTATTAATATTCCGTAGGATACAGTGATGTTCCTACCATTTCTAAGATCCATCAGCAGTGAGAAGTTTACATCTAAACACTCACTGCCTACAGAAATGGTGGCCGCCCAGTTTAACCGTAAATATAGAGATGACATTTAGGTTTGAGTGTGTCTTACAATGCTATAAGTAGGGCACAAAATTAACCGGCTATAGCTTGTAAAATAAGCAATCAAGTCTCGTATTTGGCAGGCTACGATCAATCTAGATCAATAACTTGGGTGACATACATGAAATAATTCGCTCATAAAAAGTGGATATTACCCATCAGGTAACTAACGTTGAAATAACGTTGATGAAAAGCTGTTCAAACGCAATCAACTCATATTCAACGTTGTTTCTACGTCTCTTGCCTGGATATTAAATTGTATCTTTGGGATTCTTTCAAAAGTCAGATATATCAAATAACTCCAAACCGACACGGCGTTATATAATTGGCACAAGATTATTTCAGTGCAATTTAATCGTGCGACTAACCACAAGAATCCCGACAGATGTTACTGAATCATCAATGAAAAAAATGTATCCTCCATAAAAAGATCCCAGGATACCCAGATAAATTCAGATTATTTTATCGTTAAGGTATTAATTGAAAGAAGGACTCGGCAGATCTCAGCGCCGTTGAATTTTTTTTTAATTTGAATAAAGTCTGTGGGAATCACCGATGAAACGGTCGCTCGTTTGACAGATAATCCCTGACAGATGATAAGGCATAAAATAATTTCTGCAGAAATACGAGGACTTTTTATGAAACATCGCGATTACCGAAATTTCACTTTTATTAAATTGAACCGTTATAGAAAATGCCATATTCAGAGCTTCACTACTAACAAAGTAAAGCTCTTATCTTTGATTATTATACAACATCAATGACTAGATGGAATGTCCCGAGATCGTTTCATTCGGATCCATAGTAATATCGTTTCTTTTCAATTGTGAAACAAGCTTTAAAAACTAAACATATAATTTTAGAACACAAGAGACACAAGCCTGCAGTAAGTGAAGCGGATGGGACATGCAAATTTGACTCATAGGATGCATTTTCGCCTAATGTTGATCAATCTGCAGATAAATGATTTTTTCTTAAAGCTATACCTTAGATATTACAATAGAAATAGATAAGAAGTTTTTAGCACTGTACAATGTACACTTTGCAATTGCCAGTTGGATCTACAATCTTTGAAAAATGCCTTACGTTTTGATGAACGCTTAGTCAATTGTTTCCTAGATTGCCAATTGAACTTCGAATCTTGCGTAGTTAATGTAAAGGGTGAGTTCAAAGTTAGCTACTGTTAAAAGTATTCATTAACATATATACATCAGTTTTATTAGAAAGAAATGTTGAATTTCAGAATAATCACTCTTAGAACCTCGTAGTGAAGGAAAATCGTCTTTGAAAGCATCTCGAAACTTCATGTAAGGTTTTAATAGAGTAACAAACTTTGGAAGTATTATTGAATTAGATGCGGCCAACCATTACCCTGCTAGATTGATGGTACTTGAAACCATCCATGAATTAGAAATAGATTGAATGATTTAGTGATGTTAAAATTATTTGTGCTGAGGTAAGTCACCTAAAAATTATAATTTTAAAATACTTCTTGTGATTGAAATGTCCAATCAATATCTGAATTTTTTTAATGCAGTGAGCTCTCGTGTCATGAAGTTTAATGTACGATCCAAGCTAACTTGTCAATCTAAGGCTAAAGAGATCATTGGAATTAGCGCCTAAAGTAAACATAAATAATGTTCTTAGAGTAATAAATGCAGTTGGTATGTACTAAATGCAATCATTTCCAACGTAGAGATAAATGCGCAATTAAAGGTACAGAAGCACATCATAACTAGATAGCCTTAGCATGAATAAAGCATACAGTAACTATATTCTTACGCAAAAGGTCCCAAATGCAACTTCCAAATGTCTCCATTAAGGAAGCAAAGGCTAATTCCAAATGCAACCGTTACACATAGTGAACTCAACCTTCACTATAGATCTAGGAGTAAAATCTATCATAACATAAGATGAATTTACAAATGTATAAACAGTGCCGCACCATGAGTTTACGGGCTAGTAGGTTATTCGTTTTGCTGCAGCACCCAAAGAGTATCTTTAGACCCGGTAGAATTTATTTATTGTGAATAATGTAACACAAGCAATAAATACCGTTATGGCAGGGTTTGTTACACGCAACGCGCAAAATTTATAGGTACACTGCCAGCTTGAATTTATCAATGATAGCCGAGTTAACAAGATGATCTTGAAGTGATTCGTAGCACTTACTCTGAAATCCGCTCTGAAACACCAAAGAAGTGAAGGAATTCGCAGCTAGAAGTCACAGTAGGAGTTAATATGTCGGACAAGACCTCCAAGTCCATGTACCGCGTTCATTTGCCGGCTTACGTTTGAAATATTGAATGTGGGTATACATCTCGATAATGTAGGTATACATCTCGATAACATGAACCGTATTACGCCTACAGTCGACACACAGACAACATGCAGCAATCTGTACTTCTATTTCAAACACCTATAAGGCCGGTATTTCAATAGCAAATTCAAGCTCTTTTGTTACACATTAGTATAAATATAGAATGAAATTTCACAACTTTAAAATCTATCGACAGGTTGACGACAATGACAAGTCGTATCCTCATGCTTCAAGTTGAACCTTGAAGACAATGAAATAATCGGAAAGAGCTAAACTGAACCCCATTGGAGAAGGTGTTCTATTCGTTATCTGAACCTGGCGCACTGTCGAGCGATATGTCCAACATTAAGTTTAAAAATTTCAGGTATGTAATAAAGCGATGATAAAAAGTATAAGGAGGCATCGGAGATGGTAAAGGTTAGTTTTGTTGTGACAGGAACGAGGAAAGCGTTATTCTAAGCGTGATATTTGTAATTAGATTGAAGAATTAAGATTCCATCACTCCCGAATGTCCGCAAGGAGCGATGTAAAGAAGAGCCTTTGGCTACTGATTATACACATTCCGAGGATCTCGTGAGCAAGAGTATGCTGTTAAGCATACAGCCATCCATATTCCTGTGGTTATTTACATTTCCCAATGCACCAGACTGAGTTCTGGCAGCTCCCAGAAACAGTGGGACGGTGAGAAGCAATTTGTGCTACGCTAGGGATACAACACGAGTGTAATCCACCATTGATATTCAGCGACGTTATAGGCCAAGAATAATGAGAAAATTAATACCAATCTGAATGAATACAAAATCAACTTGCACATTTGCTGCGAACACCCCATCTGGAATGTAGTTTGAATTATTATTGACTTGGAAACAGCAAATGGCGTCCACGATGCAAACCATTGCCAGGCATTATGCTAGTTTTAATCGCACCGCAGACATGTCGTAAATTAAAAATAAAATCATGCTCAGAAGTTGGAAGTGACAAGTGCATGGCTCCATGTGGGCGAAGTGCAGGCGGCAAAAGTGTAGCGGATGCTTGAAAAGCAACAAAATTTTCCTTCGGTAATCAGTAGACGACGACACTGCAGGTTGTGTTACTGCAGGAGGTGATTCTGCAGATGGTGGCAGTGCAAGCGGCGGCACTACAGGTGGTGCCACTGCAGGTGGCAACACTGCAGATGGTGGCGATGTAGGCGATGGCACTGCAGGTGGTGCCACTGCAGGTGGCAACACTGCAGATGGTGGCGTTGTAGGCGATGGCACTGCAGGTGGTGTTACTGTACGGACTGTGGCGCGGCGCAAAAGTATGACGCTGCGCGGTAAGATCTTCCTTCATGTTGGTGAGACCGCAGACGACATCAACGTTAACATCGACGTGGTTGTCAGTCTGTGGGAAGGCGAATACTTAACCAAACGGAATAAATGGTGCAGAAATGCTGGTAATTTGTAATGATATTAAAGAAATTGTAGAAATCAGGAAATTTACAATAAACAATAGCCCCTTTCCAATCTCCGTCGTATAAAACGGCCACTTATTAATTTTCTTCTAATCAGCAACGAAAACACAATAAATGAACATATACGTTAAAGATAGAGATACGTTATTAATTTTAAATGTTCATGAAATTATTCCATTTAATATATAAGTCATAAACTAATAAAATAGAAACTGTAAAGAAATTAAAATGCAATTCATCCGGAATTTGAGAAATTACAATGCTGCCTACTCTCGTAACTCTAACTAATTCCAGTAAGGTCTAAATTCAATTTGAAGATAGCCTGTTTACTCTCGTAGCTCTCACATACAGTATTTCAGTAAGGTGTATATTCAAGATAAAGAAAGCCGGCTTACTCTCGTAGCTCTCACATATATCAGTAAGGTCTAAATTCAAGGTAAAGAAAACCTGCTTACTCTCGTAGCTCTCACATATTTCAGTAAGGTCTAAATTCAAGGTAAAGAAAGCCTGCTTACTCTCGTAGCTCTCACATATTTCAGTAAGGTCTACTAGCATCCTTGGGTCGCTTGAGTTGAACCTTTAGTCGCTTCATGCCGATCTGGAAGCCGTTCATGGATTGTATGGCAGCTTGGGCGGAGGTGGGATTGTCGAAACTTACGAAACCTGGCACAGAGTTTAACAATAATGAATCTTGATTGTTTTGTTTATTCATTTCGTTCTGTGAATGCAATCTGAGCCTCGAAAGAAGGTGCTGTGAAATTTAGTTGTCAAGGTAACCTCATTCTTTACAATTCAGTTTAGAATAATTGGCACATAATATCATTAAAGTAATTGATTATCCTCACCGAAGCATTTGCTCTGATTGGTAGCTCTGTCAATGAAGACTTTTGAGGAGATGACATTCCCGAACGGCAGGAACATTTGCATGAGCTCCGCGTCGCCAAACTCTTGTGGCAAATGGTAGATGAAGAGATTGCAGCCTTCCGGTCCTGAGATCGAGCAACCTGCACAGAAAGAAAACTCTATGAAATGAAATATGAATGAAAATATTGCCGATACACTATTAGAGTCATCGATGCTCGTGTTAGTGCAAGGGATCTTAGTTTATCAATTTAATTAGCCTGGGTGATATAAAAAGTTATAATAAATAACTTTTCTTCAATGGTGAATGAAAATGGACTCAAGAGTACTCAACTGCAAGGGAACATTTTATTTTTTGCTGAAGACAGACTACAGGGAAAATAATTATTTTCGCTGTGTATTTTATTTATATAATTATGGAAGCCGTGGTTCTTTTCATGCCATGATTATGCTACGAAAGATATATGAGAATATTGATAATTTGTTTTGCTTGACGTTATCTTATCATGTCCAACGAACACTTAGAAACAAGCTCAAAAATTACAAAAAATACCGCATATTATACAATACGATTGCTAAAAATCTAAACATGTTGATAGAAAACGCAAAACAGTGATTCAAAACTACTTTAATTCAAGTTTTTAAAGGTAAATACACAAGGAGAAAACTATTCACATCTACAATACAAAGACACGAAGCAAGCAAAGACAAGCCATCAGAACAAATACGCGAATCGCTTCAAAACAAATCCCGAAACACAAAGAAAATGGTTGTTAGAAAAATCTGATGAAACACAGTAACAATTCCCAAGAGAATGAACAGAAAATGTGCTTTGCAAAAATAATATATCTCAACAAATCATAATTGTTGAATATGAATACGATTCTCCACCAGTGGACGTACCCTGAAATGAAGTTTAAGGAAACTCCCTTGAAGTATTTAGATGTAAGTCGTTTCCTATACTCAACTAATTATAATTTGTCTTATTTGTTGTGAAGCTGGTAAGGAATGCGATGAAATTACTGTAATGACTCATCATGCATTTACTTGAAACAAGGTACTTTCTTCTTCGATACAATTGATGAAGCGGTAGCGTCGCGGCCACGGACGAGGCAAAGGGTTCACCAGTGGAGCCTCCATCAAATCCTAAGAAAATCCCAGCCAAACTAATGATTGGAATGTGGCGCAGCATAATTTTATATACTTTAGGCAATAAGAAAATCCCAGCCGAACAAATGATTGGAATGTGGCGCAGCATAATTTTAGATACTCTAGGCAATAACTCAACCAACAAAGTGACATAGACTCGCACACTTCAAGCAAAATTCAAGTGAAAAGTTTGAAATGGCGAATCTTACTTATAAAAACTATAGATATAGCTAAACCAAGTTAAGTTTTGGGGCAACAGACATATATTTTCATACACAAAACAAGGTAAATAGAAAACATATGAATGTTTACATTACAGTAAAATGCACGAACTAATTGAAACAAGTCACCAGAAACAGTGAGGAACAACTCAATATAAATTTCTTAGCTTCATTGGTCTTCATAACTAAAAAATGATACATAGACAAAGGAGAAAACGCACTAATAAAACTTTTCAATAACCTCATGAACTAAATGATTTTGAACACATTGAAAGAAGACTATTTGTAAACAAATGAAGTTCAATATTCTGCAGAAGAAATGTCTTCAACATGTATAATACAACGCAAATATAATCATCATACCCGTTGAAGTCATCGTCAACATTGAAGCGATAAGTTCTCTTACATTCATTCGAATAGATGAGAAATCTTAAGCGATTTGTATGTCATCGTTATTAAATCATGTGCATAAAGAAACAAGAATAAGGTCGTCGGCAACATAATTATACCATGACTCACGGACAATTCTGACACATAGGAAAGCACACGCAATATCAATCAATGGATGCAATACTACACTCGTTCACGGCTCGCCAAAGAAAGAAATTCAGCGAATGACATTGAGCCGAGCAAGTTTCAGGAATTTCTAAAAAAGATGCTTCAAATATTCCACTTAAGTTACTAAATTAGCCCGTTTGGTTCAAGACAACAATTGCTCTTTGAATGAGTTTCTAAATGCACAGCAAAGGCAGAAAATAAAGTTGATACTCTGAGCCTTGATGAGACGGACATCGAGAACACTGCACACCAACATGCATATTAACCCACAGAAGGGAAACACCTCTAAATAATGCAATGAAGAATGAATGCATAGGAAAAAATGATGTGTAGAAAAATAGCGACAATAAGTACGCCAGATTATGGGCTTGTGATGGATCTTGTAAATGAATCGCGTAATGATTTTTATTGCAACTATGTCGAAAAAGAGTGGATAAATAGGAATGTTAAACAAATATATACCTACGCTCGAATACTCGCAGAAGTAGATAGGAATGGGAGTTAAATTTGTGTATAAGTCTCGACATTTTTATTGAAGCTTTGTATTATAAGCAATCGTCAGTCTTATTCCTGATTGTGGAACCGAATTTTTTTACCTTAAATAGCAAAAATATTAGCCAAAAAACGAAGAGTTGGTTTTGAAAGATTTGAAGTATTGATGTAACTCTCTCTGCAATCTCTTTCGCAATTTCTCTATTCCACTCGACGTATTTTATCGCACTTCTTAATCACAAGCATGAGGTTATTCAAAGTTATTTATTATTTCAGTAAGAGCGATTAATAGTCATTTCAACCTTTGATTCTAATAATTCAATTTTTTTACCGCAGAAAGAAGAATTTAGATAGCAAAGCTGACTTTAGCCTGAAATTTCTGTGATTGTTCATAGCAACGTTCAATGATTGTTCAATAGAAACTAATGCATTAGAAACTTCCACCTTTCCACCAATAGAACAAGTGATTCGGCTCGATTTAATCTAATTTAAACGTAATAATTACATGGAAGTGATGGGTTTGTTGCAGACTGACAATGCTTACGATGTAATTCGGCATAAGGTAATCTTTTGGTTAGAATGATATTTTTGATATATATTATGCCGCCAGGTTTATTTCATTAACATATTTTCCTATCACTAATGCACTTAATTCATTAACTATATTGTATAATATTATTTCAAACGTTTTTCGGCAAATTAAATAGAATAGTTTGTGTAGCGTTTAGTGTAGTAATGTAAAGTCAAGTGTATAACGAGACTAAAATTTTGAAACGATCATGATGGCGTTCAGTTTATTTCATCGGTTCAACGAGCGCAATTATTAGAACCGATAATGATCGCGTATCAGTTAAGTGATTAAGATAATAATCGCGGAGGAAGAATTTTAACCCCATTCCATATTTTAATTGTGCCGTCAAGTCGCATTTACGTGTCTGACTTTAATTTTCCCACAACCTAACCGATTCTCGAGCCTAATTTTGTTTTGAATACAAATTAATTAATAAATTATGTGCCTAATTGTACTGATATATGTTGAGGAGATCTTAAGTAGGTAATTCTCTATGAGAGAATATCATAAAATCTCACCTTCAGCCTTGGTTTGGTTGATGGGAGTCGCGGCGAGATGAGGAGAAGCTATTTGTCCATGAACAGGGAATACGGCAGGACTGAAGGCAGCTGTACGCGGTTCCCAGGTGAACAAGAGAAGCGACATGAGACTTCTATCTAGTCCACACCGAATACTCAAACGGCATTCCACAAATCAAATTCCACATATATACATTGAGTTAGTAAAGCAAACGACAAATTATATTGAAGCATAACATATGGATTTTCTTCGGGTTAGAGCGAAAGTTTACTTTTAATTTTAGTTAATATGGTGACCAACAAAAGCGCTAACAAAATTCGATCTAGGCATGGGAATTAAATGCCGTATTTTTATATTGTTGAGATGACTTGCCAAGATTTTTTTTCCTCCGCTTCAAAATTGGCAGTAATCAAGTTCAGGAACAATGGGAATCCATATGTAGAGCCTTACATGATATGGTGTGCAAATTTCAAGTAAAAATGAAATCATGGCGGTTGGTGGCAATTGATCATGTCGTAGGTTTAATTTTCATTTGCTTTAAATAAACCGTTATGATAAATGTACAAAATTTAGGCGAGTGTAATAGTTAATTATAATTGAATTAGATAAACATGTGCCAGTTGGAAAAATTTACTTTTATATGATTTAATTTATTTGGATGAAAACTTAGACCTTTTGATGGTCATACGTAGACCGCGATGAGTTTGATCAAAACAGCGCTTGTCAGTGCGCACGAAATTTGTTGTATTTATGAAAAAATAATGCGGCCTGAAAAAAATCTGCCTGTTAAGAGTGCGTGCAAACTTGAGTTTTGACAGCTGGTAGGATGTTACACTTTAAGGAAACAGGAGCCTTTTTAGAGGAGAAAAAACATCGAGAAATGCATAGTGCCATGAATGTCATTTGGGGAATTATTGTCAGGATGGATCAGTAGGAAGCACATCGACAAGTGGAAGAGCTTTAAAATTTAATATTTATTCCCATAAGATGGAATATATTCAAGATCCAACATCGAGACATCGATTAAGTGTTCGTACAATGAGTAACCTAACACGTTGTAGGTCTTCACAATTATCCGATGACATCAATACAGCACAAAATCATGCATGCATCAGCACAAGAAACTAATCTAGAAATTATACTTTAATTTCAACCGATTTAAAAAAAACAATAAAAAACGCCATTAACAGTAAGTTCCCCAATTGGTTTTGTGTGGGGACATGAGTACGTTATTGAAATTCCATGGTACCGAACGAACATTGAATGAACTTATATCAGAATTTCAACAGAAACTCGCACAAAATTTATACGAGATTAATGCTCATTTTCACGTACAGAATAATCTCAATGCCAGAATAATAATGATAACTCATTTCTTGCTCATCTTTGCATGATATTTAGCTCGAGATAGAAAAATTTCTCCGAGCAACTTACTCCCAAGCATTTTTATGAAATACCAATAATTAATATCGAGTAACTGAATTAGTTGGTTGTGCTGGTTCCCTTTTATTGCTGAACATTGAACAATTAAACACAAACAACTCTGGGTCTGTAAGAATGTCGTCCAACTCGAGGGTATACTCACCAACTCCGGAATACGGCATCCCGGGGTAAGCTGAAGGTTGCATGGCGGTAGCGTCTCCGTTTGGGATAGGTTGCGCTGCAAATAGAAGTTTCTGTCAATTTCTAAACAAATAATTAATCATATAACAAAAAATTGATAAATGTTAGAATTTTGGCATTGAATACTCATGAACCAAGATTTGAAACTTTGGTTATATGGTTTGTAAAGTTAAATGATATTTTAGTTATCATATAATTCCTCATGACAAATGGTTGCAAGTAGTCCTATGATACTTCCTTGACATAAATCGTTCAAAGACTAGAATAATTAAAATGTCTTGCAACATAATTGGTTATCTTCCATTAAAGTAATTTTTTGTACAATCTAATAAAATTTAAGGCCTAATTAGCGTAGGAGTAAAATTCGCTTCCTGATTTTAATATGTATTGGCATGAAAAATAAATTTGTCAGAAAATATTTCACCTTTCATCGTTCTTTTTTTTCGAAAATTTTTTTGCTAAAAAAATTCTAAAGGAAACTAGTTTGACGATAAAGTGACCTTGAGGTCTGGGTAACGCTTAGATTTTTAATTTGGAGGCAATTTTTCAACTTGCGTTATAAATCATTTCAAGATAGCGCATTGATTACCAATAGGCCATTACTGAGAAATTATTATTATCAACGAATATAAAGAAAATCAGTGGAAAGAAACAGGTGAATTAATCAGAGAAATGATGAAAAATCATATGAAAATCAAATCAAACAATATGAAGAAAAATCAAATCGCAAATAAAGATGGCGTGCCAAATCAAGTTAGTTTGCAATTTCATAATATGACAAGCAAACTTACCGTGCTAGTATTATAATAATTTTCATTGATCTTAGAAAATATGAAAATTAATTAGAGCGTAAAATTTAACGATTCCTGGATTTTTAAACCAAGAAGATAGAAATGTAGAAATGTCAATTGTTTATAACTGAACATGAAAATCGCTGCGAAAGTAGAATAACAATAATAGAATAATAAATAGTACAGTAGTATAAAAATAAATAAATAACAATAATAGAATAGAAAATAGAATAATTTAATAATAACATTTTTGCCAAAAAATATTATATTTTGAGTTTCTCTGAGCTTCTCGTGAGAAATTAGCCTCGCTGCTCCTATCCACTTTGCTATCGAGTCACTCTTGGATTCCAGGAATCATCTTAACACGTTGACTACGATTGCTTCATCTTGTACTATTATTTCAGATTTTGTATTGTTTTTAAACAGGGTTGCCAGACGGTCGTTTTTTCCGGACAAATTCCATGATTTAGCTTTTCTCAATTGCATTTGCTGGCTAAGATCAATGATAGGGGTACTTCAGAATTAAATTTCAAATACTGCTAAAAGAATATAAATGGAATTTTTATAGCGGAACCTACAAATAAACTAGCATATATTGAGTTATCGGCCTTGTTTGGCCTTTCATTTTCTCGGATTTTGCCGATTTTAGGCAACCTGAATTATGTACCACTACGTCCTGGAGAAATACATTTCGTGGTACGCACATGTACCACTTCGGAGTCAACGTGTTAAAAACATGACTCGCAATTCCTGTACGAGGGTTGAAGGCTGCTTTTTCGAAAAGTCGATTATGTAGTCAAATAAACTACTAATTATTCTCAAATTTTAAAATAATGTTTGCTAGTGCTCTCATTGCACTCTGTCTAATGTGGTATCGACTGATGTTACCAAGAACTGTCAAAATTCAATTTAAAGTGCCAGCTGGCGATCACATTCGAATGATTGGCAAGAAACTTAGACAGCTTCTCTTCCACTTGTTTGTAGAATGGCAAATCAATTTAAAAATGAGGGCATTGATACGAAAGCACTATCTCGTCTTTATGTTCTGACAGTAACATTTCTAATATATTTAAAGACCGAAAATGCAATTTATGTAGGCGTAGAACAAGGAGAAAGTGTAGAGCAAGGAGAAATAGAAGTTGGGAGACATATTAAGGGATTTGCGAAGGCATGAATTGAATCAAGAAACTTGTAAATAGATAAGATAATCGAATTAGACGTGATATTTATAAGCAAAAAGTATTATGTGGAAGATAATTACATGCGGTATGTCGAAAAAGGAGTTTAATTTCACCACACCAAACAACAAGATTAAACACAGGTGAAGAATTTTTATTACAACAAATTTTTTTTAATTAAACAGCAGAACCATACATAGATTAATGAAAAAAGTTTGATTTCTCATTAAAAATGAATGAAGTGACATTAACAGAAAAAAATTAATTATGCTCCTTCATATTTTTCCACAAATTAGTCAAGTGAAAACATTAAAGATTATTTGTAAAGTGAAACAGAAAAATTGAAGGCAACAATGGCAAAATATAAAAGCTTGCCTTCGTAATTATTATTAGGGTAGCAAAGTGAAATTTAGGAAGTGCATTTATTTAAATTTTCAAAAAAGTAAGACAGGCAACTGAAAATTACTCACTAGCTGATATACGTTGAATAATGTAGGAGGAATTAAAACATTCATGCAAAACAACAACAAATGAATGAAAATTGTATGGAAGTAATAAATCCTCTTGTCATCGCAAGGTTTTCGTAAGTACAGCGCGTAAAGGGAATAAAACATCGAATAAGGCACCGAAACAAACATTAAAATACCGAACATGCGTGTCAAAAAAGGGACAAGTAATGGTAGATGAAGTGGTGGGATACTGGGGTTAATTATAATTATGTTGAGTTATTCATAATAGACTGAAAAATAGTATATTTTGGATAACTTAAAAATTTGCCAATAAAAAAGTTCATTAAAGTTTGGCGAGTGCACTCGTGTAAGTTGAACGATAACGACGTATACTATTTAATTTGCACTGGCGATCATTTCGAAATTTCAGAACACGTAAAACCGAAACCCAGAAAAACGATGCTCAAAATGATCTTGTCTTAACGCTCACAGCTACACAAATATGAGATAATTTCACCTTTTTTACTTAATTACTTCTTATTCACTTACGTACAATATAATTTGCGATTTTATATTTTATTTAAATTTTTGCTGATACACTGGCCTGTAATGACATTGAGAAATTCGGTGCAAATTTCTCAAAAAACGTAAAAAAGACGAAATAAGACAGGCTTGAGACATCACACAAAATGAATGATTACATATATTTATGTACACATTTGATAACGTGCTACCAATCTCTGGGTTAATAAATTCACGTCGCGTGACCGAAAACTTTACGGACCGTTTGCCTATCGCCTCGTCACATATGAATTTCATCGGGGAAGAGAGTAGGATAGCTTAGCTGTTGGTACAATCGGGTTAAAAGAATCATATTAATAGCAGCATGTCAGTAGAAGCGTATTAGAAGAAGCATATTAGTGCAATGTTAGTGATTCTTACGTGCAGCAGCAAAGCCCTGTGGAATGCCATTAGTAGAATAAACGGAAGTCTCAGTGGCTCCATTTTGGCTACTAGGTCCACCGTGCTGAGGAGCAATATTGAAACTCTGTAGCGTTGGTGACGACAGCGATGGCAGTGCTCCGTTAACGGCAGGTGCAGCGTTTGTACCTGCATGAACGAACCCAGCACTAGGATCGACCCTAAATTATGCCTCTAGTGTCATCCATTGTAAACTTTTATAACGCTTACAGAATTTTCATTGCCACTCGAGTGATGGCCCCAAATAATTACTACTATTGTCAAAGCTATAATTGTTAACTGCAAAAGACTTCACATATGTGGTACTCGGAAGAGAGGTTATGTCAGAGCCTATATATCCTTTGAATTTAGTAGAACAGAAATTCAGTTACAGAGGTTCGGATCTCGCTTAACTAATGGGTCGAAGAAGAATCTAAACTTATAAGATAATATCTTTTCTTCATCATCAGGTAGCGTAAGCAATTGAAAATGCTCCATGGAAATGATAGGCATTCATGTCCGTCATGTTATAAATGAAATTATGTGTAATTAGCTGCCTACGTGCAGTTTGACTGCAGTTAGAATTTCTGTATATTTTCATAATGTGGTAAAAAATCGTCATATTTCAGAAGAAGTTACTCGAATTGACGCCATTTAGGCAAAATTTATATTTGAAACAGGTTGGAGTTCCTCCACAATTACATTTCCATAGCAATTAGTACAGATACTTCAGTGTAACTTGGGTTTAATATAAATTTTATTTATGCGAACTCAATTGAATAATTAGCGTTATCTCTTGCAGAAATCTTTATTAAGACCAAAGTTTAATATATTAGTATTCTTAAAAATGTGGAGTGATCCGTATCGTTAAAAATTTAGGCTCAGGCTGCACCAAACCCTAGAAGTATAGAAAATTCGCACCCCGAGGATTCAGGTATTACGATATTATTGCAGGCTCCACGACATATTTTACGCGCCCATTATAAATATGGTATTGCATGATTACCAAGATGACCCAGCTTATTGAGTTTTTAATATAAAGCTCAACATGAAGAATAACGGAATCGCTATTTGGTAAAGAATATTTAAAACTACAGCAATAATATAATTAAAATTATTCAAGTTCGGGCCTGAGCGACAAAATTTCGGGAGGCTTCATTTCAGAGATTGTGTTGCGCATACGAAGCTCATTGCAATAATTACCGCATTTATAAGAAATTATCAACATATATAACAAATTATTATATTGCTTTACACTTTTAAATAAGAAGCTTCCGCAGCTTTCCATCAGCGTCTTCATTATCAATAGTTGTATGATATGAACAAGAACTTGTATAAATTCCTCGGCATTGAAGTACGTATTGCCTTTACAATCACAGGTCCGGTGACGCAAGAGAGTGAAATTCAAACCTGGAAATTCTAATCATGGCGATCTGAACAAATTTCACGCAAAATATGAAACATGAGCATGAATTGAATAAAATTCCACTTCTACAGATTCGAAAGCATTACATTGTGTTCCCGAAACTTAGAGTTACCAGCATATGTTGTGTCGTCTACATGAAACAACTTACATTAATTGAGAATCGTTCCTTTTGATAATTTTTCGTGAGGTCGACAGAGCCGTTATTAGAAATTTGGAAGTAATAAATCCTCTAATTTTTTTTCAAATAAGCTTTTATCGATCTATAAATAATGAATAAATAAATGTACCATCCGTTTTCTAACTTAAATACAAAAGTCTTCAGTTGTTCTGTCTGAACCTCGAGACACTCATAGGCAGACTCACGTTCTGACGTAAACTTAAACACTAATTTTCTAAAATTGAAGTTGAAAGTAAAGCAAATAACCTTTCTTAAATATAATTACGAGATTCGAATGAAATTTTCATATATGCCTTTTAAGTCAAACTAGAGTCATTTGAAATTCATATTCAAGCTAATAACTTTTGAACTGAGTCAGTACTAGATTTGAGCAGAAAAAATCAATGAAGCACTAATAAAAACTAGGGACAATACTTGAAAAAAGTAGTCAAAAAGGTTCTATGTGAGGCGTTCGCGAAGGTTATGAAGTTAAGATGAAGGTGAGGTGGGAGACGTATCAATGATACAACACATCGTGAACTGTTATTAAACATCAAACAAGCAATAAAAGAACTCCATGCACAAGGTGCAATCATATACTACTGAAAAATACTACAGAATAAGCAAAGTTGAAGTGCGTTAGATCTAAAACTACGATGGAAGCCAATTTCCATGCTACAGGTGTTCGTAATAGGCCTGTGACGATTTGTACAGTAGAGGGATAGAGGGCAAGTATGAATACTTTGAAAATATTTTGATGTTGATTCTGTGAGAAATACGGATAACATTTCTGCACTACATAGGTTCAGATTATGCGGGAAAAACACTATACTAAAATCCAGTTTTCATTCGGTGCACGGCAAATTGAGGCGTTAGTTTTTCATAACATCCTAGCTCGTGAAGTTTATGTCAGTATTTTCATCCAGAAAATTTGTCGAGAGATAAATGAGGATGAAAATCAACATAAGAAAAAAAAATTAAATAAATAAATAAATAATGATTATAATTTAATATAAATTGTTAGTTTTCAAAATCCATAATATTTTTTGCGACATTTCATAACATAATAATAAATAAAATTTATTCCTAGCCTTTTTTGTCTCATTTTGTAAATTTGTTCAGCATTTGCAACTGAATGACCTAACGCTGATAAATCCTGCCTTGGAAATTAGCTCGGAGGTGCCAGACAAAATTTGGATAATCAATAATCAAACTAAAATATAGTGTCAGTTCAGATAATGATCAACAATTTTCGTCTTATATTTTAAACCAATAAATGTGAATATAATGAGAAATTTTTCTTGTGGCAGCGTCATCAAGTAAAAATTCGAAAAAATTCTTTTGTAGGTGGTAAGTAAACGAATAAAATTTATCACTAGACCGAACAGAAGATATTATTTCATGAACTATTAAAACAGCTTGAACTTTAAGGGGAATTTACGTTGGAACAATATCGTGAAGTGTAAGAGGGCGAAGTTGGATAGATTTTTTTTTTATTTAACTGAACCTTAATAAAATTACTACTTCTGGCCCGACTCAATCGCGGAGCCAGCAACACGTGACTGATTAGAAACATCACGACGATCAACGTACTCGCAGTGCCACTAACGAACTAATCCGCAATTAATGTTAATAAAAATTGCGTGTAAAAAATAATTCAAATTGCCTTGTTTGAATTCCTGGGTGCATGACCGAGGTGCCATCAGCCAGTTTTCGCACTTCACTGATTGGAATAAATGAACGATTTTTTCCATGAAATGAATGTAGTTGAAAAATGATTGAAGGTTTTTTTCCATTAATGTAGTTTCCATGATTTTTTGGGGGATTGTTTCCTTATGAAGCGCTAAAAGTCGTGTGTTTACAATCATCGTGTCTGGCTCGAGCAATCAACTTCAGATGGTCATGCAAGCACAAACAGGGAACCCATTCGAACTTTATCGTCTACTGCACAATGGCGATAGTGGAGAACACAACTCCCAAACAACGGAGCATTACACAATAATTCTGTTATGCAAATATTTTTATCATTCATAGTAAAAGATGGTATTTAGAAGGTAACAGGAATTTCAAAGTGTCAAGGTTTCGACGATGAAGCACGACTGGGGCTCGTTACTGGACAGGGCTTCAGGGCCGAGTGTATATAAGGATTTCTGTGAAGGATTTCTATAAGGATTTCTGTGAAGGCGGCAGCGACAGGAACTTACCAACTTTAGTTAAGTGATACTCCCATGGCAAGCCAACAGTCGTCGCTAAGCAGAAAATGACAAAAATAAAGTTGCTTTATAAAGAGGAGATGCAAAAAAGCAAGAAGATTGTAACAGAGACAAGGGAATTGTGGACATTTCGGGAGGGACTGCAAATTTTATCCTCTTTTTCAGGAACTGCATGCAAAAACGTGGTAATCTTGGATGGATTATCCCGAGAAGGGAAGTTACAAATGCTTACAAATGAGAAGAGCTCTGCTTTACATTATCACGACCAGACTTTCACAACTAACAAAGTTTTCTGTCTCAGGACAGATCCACACGCCATTGATGAGACGAAAACTCGGATGGCAAATGTTCCGTTTGCCTGGTTTTACCATTGGCATTACCTGCATAGTACACCCAGCAAGTATACCATTGGCATTACCTGCATAGTACATCCAGCAAGTAATACCATTGGCATTACCTGCATAGTTCTGCATAGTACACCCAGCAAGTAATACCATTGGCATTACCTGCATGGTGCACCCACCAAGTAATACCATTGGCATTATCTGCATAGTACACCCAGCAAGTAATACCATTGGCATTATCTGCATAGTACACCTAGCAAGTAATACCATTGGCATCACGTGCATAGTAGACCAAGTAAGTAACGCCCATAGCATAATTAAGGTGAAGAATATCGGCCAGATGAGGTTTCGTCTTTCGCTGCCGTATGGAACAGTGCCCAGGACACAAGCGAGATTGAGAGCATCAGGCGAGGTGATCAAGAGATTTCGTTCTCCAGTGGGTAAGCAAGTAACTTTTGAAATTCTATAGCAAGTAACTCTTGAAATTCTATAGCAAGTAACTCTTGAAATTCTATAGCAAGTAACTCTTGAAATTCTATGGCAAGTAACTCTTGAAATTCTATGGCAAGTAACTCTGGAAATTCTATGGCAAGTAACTCTTGACATTCTACGGCAAAATTTGTCCACGGGGAAAACATGCAATTCCCTAATTAGGTTGGGCACAAAACATGATAATGTTCCTATCCTAGAAAACATCAGACACTAAAATTGCACAAAATAGAATCAAATCGAGATCAAACTTTTCAATCTAAAATTGCACGGAAACACACAACATCAATATCAATTCAAAGACTCAAAAATAACGTTCTATATATTGACGATTAACAATTTTCATGAAGAGAAAGTCCATGGAATCGCACGCGCATGTTTTTGAATGGCTTCAAACAGACAAACAAACTGTTGTGCAAATATCTATCCAATTTCACAGATGCAAATAGTAGAAAAATTTATAATTCATTGAACATCCATCACTGAAGTTGCTATAAAATAGATTCTTTCAGTCCTTCAGTCATTTGACTTTAAAGCAATGAAGATACATAAATTAAAACAAAACAACACAGAAATAGCACCAGACAAAACACACGAATAAATGAATCAATCCAACCCAACTACAAAAAAACTTGTGCAACTGACTTACAACAACGTACGATTTACACCACCAAACCATCACATATTACATTGAAGAAATGAACACATCTCATGGCAATGCTCGATATATCACACTTCCACTAGTAAAGAAAACGAGTCCTAGGCGCCGTTTCCAGATTAAAAGAGTGCAAAGAAACCATTTAATAAAATTTGACAAATAAGTGATGCAACGCTGTTTCCATATTGTTGATTAAAATAAAAAATGTTGAAAAGCTGTTTCTGTTTTGTATATGAATAGGATACAAGGCGATGGATCATAACTTTCGTGATTCACGAATATTATTATGTAGATTAATAAATGTCTAAATTTTTCTCTATTATTGCATGGGCAAGGAAAATAATTATTTTAGCTAAAGTTACGTTTCTGCGTTAGGAGAACGGCTTCATATGAACAAGTGGTAGGAAAAAGTAATTATTTGCTCAAACTGGCAAGTAACTAAAACGTTTATCAACGTTTCTGAAAATTAAATATCGGAAACGAAATCAACTCACAGTTCTCTACTCTTGAACAAAATGAACACGGCCCTATTCATCAATAATAAACAAATTTTACTTTAAAAAAACAATCAGAAAACGGGGCCGAACCTCAATTTTCTGCTAACTAACAATATAAATAGGAGGATAAAAGCACAGTTTCTGAGTACATTGAACTGACCTGACGAGGGAGGAACAACGGGGCTGGTAATGCCGTTGGTGAGAGGGGCAGCGGCGTGGGGCATCTGAGTGAGGGCGGCCATAGGGCTCACGTAGGTGCCCTGACTGGCCGCGGCCATCAGGGCTGCTTGCTGATGCATGAACTGTTGCTGAGGGACCAACAACATACACTTAATCTTCGGTTAACAGCAGAATTATGTATTGTTATGTTAATTCAGAACATGTAAGTAGTTGATCTTTAATCAAAGAACACGTGCAAAATCTAGTAATGAACTATTAACTATGGACTTCAATCAGCTTCCTTTGCCTAATATCCGATTTAGAGGAGTAATTTTTTTGAGTGTTTAGTTATGTTACAAACTTGAACAGATTTCGTGGTTCAACCGTTAGTAAAGCTTTTGTTTTTAAGCACACTTATTGCGAACGAATTTCGAAATTTTTATCATTTGGATTATAAAAATAAGTATTTATGTATTGAAAGAATTTAACTTCCAACGACTTTCAGAAAATATTTATCGAAAATTTCTCATATACCTGCAACAATTAAAGGCGGAATAATAAAATAAAATTCAGAATAGAATAACACGAATTGCCGATGTCCTCGTTCATAACTGCAGCCTTTAAAAGCGTGAGCCAAACAGCGTGCTTTTGGATGCACTGAATTCGATTGCATCCATAAGCGCAATAATCTTGTTTTCTCGTTCTGAAGTGTAAATGAGTTTGATTAACACATTACGTGATAATCTCTCCAATAACTCCAGGCCATTGGTGTCGGTAATAAAATGCGTTCAGCGTGTACCATCCTGGAAGTGACAATTGAAATATTTTTTGTTCACAAGAATACTTTTGTTCAATGTTTTTTGTTGCAATTGAAACACAAGAAACGAGCATCGCAACTTTACAGCTTGCATACGGGGTGAAGGGATCAAAATAAGATTAAAATAATAATTTAATGGGATACATACGTACGTCCAGATAGGTTGGAGGCACATATTCTAATTGAACCATAAGTTACTCTTGAAAAAAATATTGTACGTTCTTGACAGGCGATATACAGTAATGCGCAACAATTAAAGCAAACTTTTGTCAGCAGCCGGAAAGAACAAGCAAGTAGCGTCACTTGCACTTCCTTCGAGTCTCCAATGTAAATTCAGGAGGCGGCAATTTACGAAAAGTTTGTTATAGGAGTCAAGGAAAGGAGCTACTATGAGCCCAACTCCCGCAATGAGCATTGCACATCACACAATATCTCCGTGCCAATGAAGGCACTATAGTTTCCAATCGGGCCTGTGAGCTCTCAGTAGCGGTTCTCGAAATTCGCAGTCATTGAAGCCAACAAATTACCCAATGATCACAGGCCATCAGCGAGGCTGAAAGTAGACACTATCTGACCTAACTCCGAGAGAAGAATCAAGTTTACTTTTCAAGTATTAGAGTGTCATTCATCTAGTCTAGTCAGCTCTCGTGTCATTCATCTAGTCATCCGGGAAACAAAAATAGATGGCACACTTCGTGAAGTTGAGATGAGGGGGAGATGGAGATACAGACCACGAACGAAGGGTGATTTGTTAGGATGCCAGCAAAATATATCGCTGAAAACTCAACTATTTGCTAGCCTATCTAAAACTATCAAAAGATCTTTGATCTCGGAAATACGGATCTCTTTGTTGCTTAATTTCATTTATGAAAAAGAATCGGGATTGTCTTCGATGTCTTAGCATTGACACACCAAAGAATCCGAATTGCAGGAATTTCTTTTCATGAAAATTGAATATTTTGCAGGCTCGCGTTGGAACTCGCCTTGTTACAGAGGACTGAAGCAAACGGTGCAACAAATTACAGCTGCTAACGCTCTTCATGTGCTTACAGAATAATGGCGTTTGACTAATCAAGGATACCAGAGTCGAGTGTATTCCCGGCATTGTTAAATAATCTCACAAAAAGAGCCCTCAACCAGTTGGAAATTTTTTGGACAGTACAATTTCACGTGATATTTTTAATATGGCTGCCGACAAAGCCGCAGGTAATGCGGAATTTCATAGTGTTTAAATGACACATCACATTTAAATGACAAATGACACATATCTGAAGCTTTATGTTCAAATCTATCGCCAAATGGTTGAATCTGTTCTTTTACGCAACGCACATGATATGAACTTTTCACTCACTTCAGTAACGTTGACCTGGGCGTAAGTGCCGTACGCGCCGAACTGGTTGAAGACAAAAGGGTTGAGAAGCCCCATGTTGCTGGCCATGTGCTGCATACGCCTCAGCTGTCGCTCCTTCTCTGTGTCGGCGAACTTCACGACGAGACTCGATGACGCTCCCTGCGGGTCAGGCGCAATGTTAATACAATCAATACACAAGCATCGCACATAAAATTATAATCATAAAAAATCTTTTTTGGGGGGATGATAAATTCAGACAATTATCACACAAAATCCTTTTTTTGGATGGTAAATTGAGACAATTATCGCACAAAATCCTTTTTTGGGGGATGGTAAATTGAGACAATCACCACACATAATCATTAAAATCACAAGCAATTATCAAAATTTAAGCTAATTACAATACACAACAGTTGGAATCTTCCAGACAATTATTTTTGTATATGATAAATTGACACCGAATCATTAAATTTTGTGACAAATGCCACGAACAATAATTAAAATCACAAATATTTATCAAAATTTTAAGCCAATCATCACACACAATAGTTAAAATCACACACAATCTTTTTTTTTGAGAGTGAGAAATATCGTAACTTATCGGTACTTAACAGTATAATAACAGAAGACAGTAATAAAGTGAATCCGTAAATAATCGATTGCTCTCAAACTATTATTATTATTTAGAGTAGTGAATTACTTTTACGCTATATTTATACCGATTAAATTCAGGTATAGATATTATTTTTTTTCGATTTCAAAATTTGGTATAAATTCTACAATACCTAAATGGCGAATAATATGGAGATATGAAGGTGCATTTACAGTATCTTGGCAAATAGTAGTTCTCACGAGTAAAAAGAAATTTCAGCGAAGTTGAGGAAAAATTTGGTGAAAGGGAATAAACCGCTTCAGTTCTTTCGTATGAATGAAATGGTAAATTAAATAGAACGTTTGTCATATTGCGATGGAGTGACATGAATTTTGAATCCTGTAGGATGTCTCTAATCCTGAAGGATGAGAGACACAGACGGCTATTCACCCCTGAATAAGGAATGGTTGCATAAAAACTCAAAGTCCAAATATCAGCGTCAAAAGAATTGAAATAAACATTTGGGAGTGACGAATTTAAGAAGCCTTTCGTCTCAAGTCAGTTTTCACTTCATGCGTGACCGAACGGCCATACATCCTGAATAAGGAATGGTTGCATAAAATCACCAAGTCTAAATATCAGCGTCGACAGAATTAAAATAAACATTTAGGAGTGAAGAATTTACGAAGCGTTTAGTCCAAAGTCATTTTTCACTTCATGCGTGTCCGAAGCTCAAAGCAAGACATTTTTTTACGATTTATTAGTTGCGGTCCACATATTCAACCATGATTCTTTTGTAATTTTTTTGAAAAAGTGTCTATATCCTTTTTTAAATTTTGCACTCGCCAAAATAAGAAGAAGTCAGTTCCTTATTATGAAATGAACTTACCGGCATTGTCTGGCTGCCGTGCAGATGGTTGATAGCTGATTGAGCTTCTGAGTGGGCAGCGTACTTGACAAAAGCACAACCTGCGCAGAGCACAGAATTTAGCGTGACGTGTCATCCAAACAAATCTGATCCATTGGGGCATTTCAACGGATGAAATTACGTTAATTGAAGAATGTGCCAAAACATTCATTGTTTTCTGCGTGAGAAACGATGTTAGCACTAGATTATAAATTAAACAAAGCAAGCATTAAAAAGTGAGAACTCAACTTGCTTGATTAATTTGCTTATTTTGATAAATATAAACCAATTGGCAGTCTTATTTATATACAGTTATATACTAAGAAATAGAAGAATCCCTACTTGTTAGCACAGATTAATTCTAATCATTGAAAATTCGGTGGAGAACTTGAAATTCCCTGAATTTCAGAAAGACCGTATATCGTAAACAGACGATAAGGGAGGAGTAACATATTATAGATCAAAGGGGATTGAAATTAATCAAACGTCGAGATATTGCGAAATTTTGTAACCGTGCTGAACCTCCGATGAGTATTTCCCTAATTTAAAACACAATGAAGATGTGACAATCTCTGTTCGAAGTACATTTGAATTCCGTGATCTCAGCGAAAACACATGAATGTTTCACGAAGTTGACTTCCGCGTATCATAGTTAAAAATAAGAAGAAGAAATATTTTTCGATATATTTGCGAAATATTACATGTTTTCCCTCAATTTTCCCATCGCTATACGAATTTTGCAAGGGAATAATTTTAAAAATTTTCAATAAATCTTATCAAAATATTTTGAAATTAAATGCACAGATATTCCACGTTACAGCACAATGTACGGCTTAATTTGAATCGGTATCATATCTTATCAACAAATATTTTTACCTAGGCTCAGGTTAGGTTTTAATCAGAGGCTCAAGTGACTGGCTATTCCAGTAATTGGCAGCTCGGCCAATGCATGGCCAATCGGCTCGCTGCAAAATGCCGATAAATGAAAGATCGCATCGGATGCACGGCGAGCCCAAATGTAAACAATTAGAAGCAATGATCATCCTCTTGAACTTGATTGTGGAAACAATGGCGGAACGAACTCGTATTTTTCCGCTCACTAATGACAGCCAATTAAACCTCTTATTGAAATGAAAGCAGAAACCGATGGTATGATGATTGGCATGATGAACACATGAGAAGGATAAATGATTGCATTCAAGGGGATTTAACTTTGTAGTTTACAGTAGTTCTCATGAGACTTCATCAGTTCAGGAATAAATAATACAAATAATTTTGAAGAATAATTTTTGTATTGTACGCACGAGTCTTAAATAAAAACTATCAATTGAAAATGTATGATCTACACTCGATAGCGAGTAGTGACGTCTGTGTATTATCTTTTTTTTATCAAGGAATCTATAATTAGAAACCAATAGAACTGAAAAAAATTAAATCGTTGCGCTTGCACTCTAAACGTTTTAATTATATCAGAACATAAAAGAGTGGGAAAACGGGTACCTTGTAAATAGTTCCTTCAGATATTTACCGCCACACATTGAATCTAGAAAAATAATTAGTCCCTTAAATTTCTTCAAAAATTCATTTCATCAGGCTCACAAAGCTCTGCATTGCTACGCTGTAATGCACGACGCTTGCAATCTAAAGATCCAAGCTAACTGAATTGTAAAAAAATTATTTGTTTCGACAGTGAAAAAAAGTTTCAATTTAAATTTCATAAGCAAATATTACGGTTTCCCTGTATCTTGGCCATGCAGGGGCCTGAAATGTTTAAAATGATCTACATTTGAAAGGAGGGACGGATATTAACATTCAGTAATTCGAGTTAAAGCAAGTCCTAAAACCATATCCAATTATGCAATAATTATAAAACAAAATAAACAGTAGGTAAATCTCTTCTCATTCACTTCGATGTTAGGCGTCAAACGGTGGCCAAGCCGAGGCAGAGCGAAATAGAGATGTGGAGGCGCTGGTCCAAGAGCCGAGGGCGCCTATTCTCAGCACCACGTCTTAATAACTCCCCTTGAATATTTGATGAGGGCACTGGCAGGAAGCCTCGAGAAAGCCGCTTTCTAATTGGGTGTTGGCCATCCTGTGGCTGTCGATCCTTGCATTGTTGATGACGCGTCTTTGTGAGCGGAACTCGTCCATTATTTCCTCTAATGATGTAAGCACCGACATTTTATTTAGCAATTAATACTGGTTAGTTATAGAGATCCGTTATGGAATTACACATGGGAAGAAGGAAATTATGGAACGAATGGTAGATGAAGATGATATATATCCAAAAGTCATTAACACGACGCGAGACAAGTTGTTGTGTAATATTATCACACTTTTTCAATGGACGTAACTTGTATGTGCTTAGTGATCACGCAACCTTCTACTAATATACTTATTTAATGGATGACCTTTGGCGTGACGAACAACAGAAAAACGATGAGATTCTTTATTGATGCGAAAAATTTTTTTGCAGGCACTTTTTTAGTCGGAGGGACTAATAGTGAAGTAGATATTTTTTATGGGCACAAAACAATGTAAACTGGTAAACTTATGCTGCAGCGAACAGTGTTATGAAGCTTGTCATCGCATTGGAATGATCGACTCCTGCAGTGGCGCAGGAGCGTTTACAAGAGAAGGAAGCTTCGTGGCACAGTTACTGTAGGAAGCTTCGCGGAACAGTTACTGTAGGAAGCTTCGTGGCACAGTTACTGTAGGGAGCTTCGTGGCACAGTTACTGTAGGAAGCTTCGTGGCAGAGTTACTGTAGGAAGCTTCATGGTGCAGTTCCAAAAAAAAAAAATAACTGCGTTAGTAGCAGCGTCAAATAACGGCTAAGGTTTTAGTTGCATTACGGCTCCTTAATTATATGTTGCATTACGGCTGCGACGGTGACGTCAGTATCGATGTTCGATTCCAGGACTATACAGAGCTACTGTGTGAGTTGCGTGCGCTTGTGTGCGTGTGTGTGTGTGTGTGTGTGAGGGAGCTAAGCTGACAGTCTGGTCCACACAAATCATGCATGAGGTTGCCTGCGCATTATTCACTAGTAGAGAGACCTGGACTGCTGCAGTCCCGCAGAAAAGCCAAGCTTAATAAAATATAAGACATAGGCTGCTGCTCCCGCTTCCTATTCTACTCTTCTTCCATCGAGCGTTCCAGGCTCTGAGCTGTGAGCGTTCGACGGGCGTTATAAAGAAATAATTTCATAGCAGCGACGAATTTATTCAACAATAAAAACATCTCGATGCGTTGTGAGGTCAAATGAAGTTATTTTTTTATTTTTTCGAATATTTTTTTTAGAAAAAGGATTGCGTTTCAAATGAGTCATAACAACAGCAGAAGTAGAATGCTAATGAGCCGCTGAAATTCTGCCAGCGATTACATGGAGCGTTCCTCACGGTTTATTCTTACTGGGAATGAGGGCTAAACGCCAATAGAATTTTCTAAAAAATTATGGCCGAAATCAAATAATTGGAAACCTCCTCAAGAAAGGATATCATCATCCAAGAAAATTATTTTGTACTTAAATGAAATTTTACAAGTGAAGTAACCTTAAATGGAAAATGGTTTGCGTAGTAAAGAAACGCATGTACACAAATATAGTGAAGCGGGCGTTGTAGATATCGTAATGCTTGACATGCATTTTGCATGACTGACCCACTTTTGTTGGTCCCTAAAGTGCGCGATTTTAAAAAAATAATTATTTTTACAGATTAAATAGAAGAATTAAAAATGAAATTAAATTATTATTGTCCTTAGACATTGTCTTTGATATCTGTTCCCACCAGAAGGCGTGAAATGGAACGCTATGCATTAAATAACAAATTAAATAAAAAATAAAACGTCTATTAAGAAATTTATTTTACTACATTTATATTCAAGAAAATAGACTATGGCCGTGTAGCTGTGCTTATTGTTTCCATCAAGAACGGGTGGAAATAATTGAAACGACCAAAACACTTCTACATTAGAGAAAATAGTGGCAAGCTTATTTAATTCATTCATATTGGCCATTTAAGCTTAAGTTTTATGTAGCCATCAAAGCAATCTATATTTGTACTGCACAAATGTGCTTCAGAGTACGTGTATGATGCTAAGGGTATCATAGATACCATCGACTACTTCATGCATTAGTTATGTTGTTTACTTTTTAAGATCCGCATTGTGGATAGCATCACATTTTTTTCAGCTCATCCATCAGAAATTCATAGTCATTGTTCGCTCATGTACCATCATAGTAAATTAAACTGTGTTCGTTAAAGTGAACTGCATTATACAGACGGCAGAGCAACGCCAGTTTAATAAAATTCAGTTAATCGACACACGTGCATGCGAATATTTATGGCAACTACCTGTGGCAACATTGTTGGATCAGTAAGTCTGACAATCAAAATAAATACATGTAAAAATCGTATTAAAGTTCACAGGAAATGTAGCTTATAAATCATCCAAGTTTTTAGTTATCTGTATAACAGCAGACCCGATTTCATACATGAACCCAGCATACAGAGGTCATATAGTCCGCTGTATAATTATCAGCGAATAAATAGAGATAATTTAGATAGTGATTTATCGGTCCAAACAATCTATGAGCTTTTTGCTGGCAAGATATAATTGCTGAAGACGAGCGCTTCTGTGCACAACGCTGACAAAGATACGCATAGGTTTCCTTGGTGAAATATTCTTCAATATTACATGAAGTTCTTCAGCACAAAGGGACGATCGATGTTATCGAGATGGAGGGTTTAATCGTGCCGCTTGCAACTGCAGCGACTGAAGAGAATAAATCAACGATGCGCCTTCTTTGATGATATCTTTAGTAGCTTCGATACCAAAGATTGTTCAGTGTGATACAACTTTTGTTCAGTACAAGGAGGGAGGGAGTGAACGAAGTCGGTATCCTTGCGTTGAGTATTAGAAAAGTTTCTATTATTTTATTGCAATATTCACGCACAGTGTGCTAAATTAGTATATGGCTTCGGGTATGACAATAAAAAATTGGCGGTAGTTAGTATGATTTCACGCCATCGACGTGACGGATTATATTGATGAATACACGC